GAATACATAAATCAACCAAAATCCTAGAAAAGGTGTCAATCGATTTAATGGGTCCGTTACCTACGGGCAGAGGAGGGGTACACTTCATTTTGGCAGTATTGGATACATTTTCTAGATACATAAAATTATACGCATTAAAGAAAGCAACGTCAAAAGCCATAATAAATCGACTAGAAAAAGATTATATACCCACGATTGGGTCTCCGGAAGCAATCCAATCTGATAATGGTACGCAGTTCACATCAAAACTGTGGAAGGAAACACTGAAAAAGTGGGATATAAAAGCAATATATTCAACAAAGTACCACCCACAGTCAAATGCAGTTGAGAGGTACAACAGGGAGATAGGACGATTACTACGCACGTACTGTTATGACCAACACAGAAAGTGGCCAATATACCTGGGCCAAATAGAAAAATGGATGAATAGAGTAAGATCAGAGGTAATAGAAATGACACCGGAGCAGTTGATGACGGGAAAGAGACCAAAACATGAAATTGAGAACTTGGTCACATTCCCAGAGAGTCATACAAAAAAGAAGCGCCAAGAATTAGTAAATTGGGCAGCTGAAAGAGTTTTAATCAAAACAAATAAAAGAGAAACTAGAGCAAAACAAAAAAAATACATCTCGTTCAAACAAGGGCAAATGGTATTAATAAAAAACCATCACTTATCAAACGCAGAGAAAAATGAAATAAAAAAATTATTCAACATCTTTGAAGGGCCATACACAATCACCAAAGTCATCAGTGAAAACACGTTAGCAATTATACATCCTACATCGAAAAAGGAACTTCTGATTAACGTGGCAGAAGTACGTCCATATTACTGTATGGACGAACTGAATTAAGAAAAAAAAAAAGAGAAGACCCAATCACGTCACAAGAACGACGGACCAATCATCGAATAGAAATTGGGTCGAAAAAAACTATATAAGATGAGTTTGTTTTAAAGAAATTAAACAGTCACAATGGCACTCGTCTCGGAAGCTAGACAGAAAGAACGAGAGCTGGCAGCAAAAGCAAGGAGGAAACCTATAGAAGAAGAAAACTTGTTGGGATTAGTATCAATCCAAGCAAAAAGAATGCATGAGGTACCGTATCAACTGGCAATATGCAACACACCAGAAGAAACACAAAGAAACAAAGACAAGCACCTATATATCATTCAATGGGTTACGGAAGTAAATGCCGCAAGAAAGAAACAAAATACTGATTGGAACCAACCAATAGATTGGAGAATGGTAACAGCCACAACATTACACCAATATATCCCATTTGAAAAACAGAACGTCAACATCGCCCAGGCGGTGAATTACGTACAGAATCAACTGGCAMGATTCGAGCGTCCAACGAAAATACGCAAGATAGAAAACGAACCAACACTGATATGGCACATGAGCAATAATCAGCTGCGAACGGCTGTGTACAAAGCAGCACAAACACGCACACGTTTATTCCGAACGTTTTAAAATTTGTGCTAGATGGTTCCCACCCCGGCACAAATCTGGGGGGGGTTCTGTTACGGAATAAACCGAGACATAAAAAGGTCTTTATCAAGACCACTAATTGACCAAAAA